CCACATTTTCATGGGAGACACCCAGAGGTGGACTCCTCTGGAGGGCCAGTCAGGAGAGAAGATAGGGTGCAGCTTCTCTCCTTTCAAGGTCTCCAGGCCACCTGCTGTTGTTGCCGTTTCTCCCAGAAAGCAGACAAGAAGCCCCAAAGTTTCCTTCCTTCTGCCTCATTCCTGTGTTTATAGTGCTGCAGGCACAGGGTTGTGCCATTCAGGATGTTCCCCAGCCAATCCAAGTCTTTTTGGACTCCAGCCTCTCTGCTCTCCTACTTCCCTGTGGATGAACCAGCATCATTTACACAAATTTGCTTTTTATTTTGCTAAGCAACAACCTGTTTCCTGTTCACTGCGCTGGCCCTGCTCCCTGTGCCAGTTGCAGCCCCAGTCCCATTGTTTTGTGTCCAGCCGGATTGTCCCACGACCCCTTGGCATGTGACTCACCTGGAGCTCACGGTGAGCTCTTGTGGTCATACTGTCCCCAGGCTTTCTGAGTCTGTAGCTCCCAAGGCAGGTCTCGGTCTTGAACTGGAGACCAGGCTTTGCACAAAATAAGTATATATGCATAATGCTCAGCTCCTTTGCAGAGTGCTGCCTTACCCAGCACAGAGCGCGACAGAGCTGGAGTCCTCACTTTATCTCTGCCCTACAGGTATTTCAGTTTGAAGAGGAAATCTAACAGCTGCAGTTTGCTCCAGCTATATCACACAGTGCTCTGTGGTCCAGTTCAGGGACAACTTACACATGCACTCGCTGGTGGAAATGAGGGAGGAACATCGGTCAGGCACGTCAAAAACTGCATGGCTTGAGTCCTGGTAGGTTTTCTCTAGCTACCAAGAGGCTGTGGCTCTAGCCATAGGAGATGGGAGCGCACACTATCTAGTCTGGGAGCTTCTTTCCACATGCTAGTTTTATACCTGTTAGTCTACTGCTTATACTGAACTTTTCCCTGAGTATCTTACATAAATGAAAAGAAAAAATGGTTCTTGAAACCACTTATTCTTAAAACAAGAAAGTTCTTCTGTTTTACTGTAATGGCCATTTCATATCAAGATGCACCGCTAATTTTTTCTCCAGTACCAAACTAAGTTCTTAAACATGTAGGGCCTAGTAATATTTTCCTTTTCTTTATGAAAGACATGCATAACAAGGAAATTAGGGTTTGGGGCGTTTTTTACACACACAGAGTGGACAGATACAAATCCTCTCTCTCCTTTTCCTCCCCCAGCCCCGGGCTTTGTTCAGCTCAGACCTGCTGGTGCCAACAGCTGAGAATAAGGTGTAAGTGCACCTGGATAAACAAGTGAACAGGAACCGGAGCAAGAACGTGAATCACTCTCTGGTACCAGGCTGCCCTTCGTTTCTTTCCATGGGTCTCAAAAAGTACAGGCAGTGCCTGCTGAACAATGCCAGCTGCCAT